CAAGTACTATAAAGTTAATCCATTCTACCCAAGTATTCATATCTCCATATCTGGTTTTTATCAGCACAGATATCAGAAGTAAAAAGGAAAGGAACCCTCCCAACATGCCCTTTAGATAATAAAGTATTGTCAGGTTCTTTCTAAATATAATTTTAAAAGCTCCCTAGATGACCCTTGGTGTAAAACTTAGGACATGTAATATTTGTCCTTCTACTTTTCCACAGTATAAGATTATACATGCACTAAACTGAACAGTTAATGGAAAAGATATTTTAGTTATATTATACCAAGTTTCCCATTGTCTATTCCATAACAAACAGACTAAAGACAATTCTTTCTTAATCTTAATTTCAAAGCATGTCCTTGTGGCAAGATTGTCCATTTTTCCTAGGTGTTTTTCTAGTAGCTTATTCATGTGGAATGTGTCCCACCTCTTTCAGGTTTCTGAACTGCAGTTTTGGTGATTAACAGCACCAGAAAGGAACCCTTCCAGGTTGGTTCCTATATGTTCCCTTCCTGGCTTTTTATTAGTATTCAGCCCTGAAGCTGGAAAGAATGAGCTGGAAATTTTAATAATCTGGTTCTCAGTTTGCATGATGGGTATATCTGTGGATACACTAAGAAATAGGAGGCCACATCTCTCTTTAGTGCTATGTTAATCCTAAGCAAAGCTGGAGGGAGATTGTTATGACTTACTCTAATATAGTTTTAATCCATTGCCATCCATAGCATCTGGAGAGGGGAAGTAATCCATTATCATCAGTTAAATATTTTAATATTTTTAAACTTTAGTCATTTCTGTAAAGTCTGTCTGGATACTCTGAAAGAGTCTCAATTCAGGAAACCCTGAAGCTAACTTAAACCCTAACCCATGTCCCTTTTTTTAACCACCCCATCTTCCCTTTTTGGCAACTTTCATATTCCTAACATACCTGCTTAGCAGTGGTGAAGAGCATCACACATTTTTAACTTTTGTACTGCATCACACTTAGCCTGTGTTCTCCAGTAACTTCCCTTGTAAGATATACACTTGTTAGTATTTAATCTCAGGAGACACTAAGTCCTCTCTGATGAAGATGGAATGCAATTTATCTGAGGAAACTCACTGTTTCTGGAGTCCTGGCTGATCTTGGAGAGCAGGACCCAAAATATGGGGTGTCCTTTTGTCTCTCTTACTTTCAATGATATAGACAGTTGCTGTATGTTTTCCTAGAATTCTGAGTAGTTCCATAGCCACAGATTACACTGATCACCTGAGCACATGTATAAGTAGGTAGAGAGGAGATACATAGGACTGAGCCTACAGAGTAGTAAGGTCTGACGATTCAGTGTTGATGATGACTATAGATCAATGGAAGAAGACATGATATCAGCTAATGTACTTGGCTACCTCTTGTAGCTTCATAAGCCTCACCAGAGAAGAGTGGAGATTATAGCAATACAGGGGACACAAGACATCCTTTGTCACTTGAAATAAGCTACACAGAGGACCCATTGCTGTTTGGGTCAGATCCTGGCACTATTTCTTAGAGACTCCTGGGCAAGACAATGTTGGGCAGAAAAACCCAGACCCCACAGTGGATTTAACAGATGAAATGTACAAAAGTGGCAGGCCAGATGATGTGCCTGGAGGATTCATTAAAATCCAGTTTCCAGGAGGACCGGGGAGGTCATGTCGTCTGGGAGGATGACACTGTCAAACCTCCCTCAGGACAAAGCTTGGGATTCATTGTTGCCTCAGAGATGATGAAACTAGGCAGTTGTTGGTCTTCTTTTAACAGTCCTACCCATAGCTCTTCCTTCAAATTCTTACAGTGCTTATATTATACCACAGACCCCTACAAGAGATAATATATGAGAATCTGACAATATGGTTTAAAACAATTCAGATCTGTTGCTTGCTGACTTGATGATAGCCATTTGAGTTGGGGTAAAATGCAGTCTCTATTTACTTTTGCTTTGTATTTCAATGCTAGCTAAGCATGATGAACATTACTTCTCCTGAGTCAATGTCTGCTTGCAGATCTCTGGAGGAATTTCTAAGAGAGTAGATGAAAAACATACCAAGGAATTCAGCCTCTCACTTTCCAAGATCTTGCCCTAGAACTCAGCTGATCACCTGCACTCACCTCCTTCACAGAGAAGACTAGCAATAGCACTGACTGCAGGACTATTTCTCCCTGATCTTAGTGTCAGCCACACAAGCTCTGAAGATCACCCTGACAGAAGAAACACCTCTCTTGACTTCAGCATCTTTAACCTCTCTGCCTTTTGGTGTTGGAGGTAAGGGTTCTGTCTCTGATTTAGACAATATGTAGGTGCTGTAAGTTTTAAGAAGCAACATCAAAAGCCCCCACCCCTCATAAATTCTCTCATTCCTCAGTCTTCAGACCCCAGCCTTTCCATTGTTATTTTAGATATCCCAAACAGGAACCCACTTAGAGTGTTTGGGGACACTTGCAATCATTCTTCCTTCTGTCTAAACATCCAGAATTCATGCTGCTGGATGGTTGGTAAAACTCAGTACTTGAATTTCTATATATTTGGATTTTCCTAAGCTCCTAGCATCTGAATCAGACCCTAGATGAATATTATCTCACAGCGGGCTATCTAATGTCAGTTTAAGTTCCTTCTGCCTACATATCTGCTTGACACTGAAAATAATAGAGAAAAGCGATTTGAAAACAATTTTTAAAATTAAATACACTGAGCAATGACACAGGGGACAAACTTATGAAAACACTAATTCTAGCTCCATCTCCAAATTCTAGCTCCATTTCCTGAATTTCCTCTGGCCATTTCCATGAAGTAGAATTGCTTTTGGCCTCTGCTGACAACTCGATGTGAGGTCACCATGCTGCAAAGCCGCTTTCCAAAAATGGACTCTTCCTCTGCTAGCGTCATGTGCATGTCCTGCTCTTTCTCTTTAGAGGATAGAATGAAGAGACAATGATGAGGATAGGAGAGAAACCATGAGTAATGATTCAGAGGGAAGTGGGTAAGATTTGGGGCTCTACTTACATCACCTTAATTTAACCCCATTCCTCCTCTTTCCTTTGAAATATTGTTCAAACCTTGGCACAGAAATCTGAAAGAATGTGCCAGGTAATTGTCTTCTTCCCTTTGTTTCTCTTTCTATACATATTCTATCAAATCTCTAAAAATTTTTTTCCAGGTTTCACATATGCCAGAAGCACTACCCCAAAATGTCTTTTTTTTTCTTGTATAGGCAAGGGATTTCAACAAAGTTTCTGTGGTAACACATATCATATTGATATCATAGAACAAGTGGAAGATTAGGTGCAAGGAAACTGTAGGACATCATTTATGAAAGGACATTTCTTTGGCTGGCATCTGCTTACAATTCAAGGAGTAAAGAGTATGAGAGGATATGCTGTACTGCTTTTCCACGCACATGATGCTATCTTCCACCATCTCTTTTTGCACTACTGGGCTTTTTGACTTAGCCAAATCCTATTCATGTATAACCAAAACTTCATGTGTTACTTCCTCAGGAAATCTGTTTCTGAAACCTCTCTTTTATGTTCTCCATATGCAATATTTTAATTCAACTATCAGTAGTCAAGATTGTATGATACGGATTTCTGTGTGATGTGTTTTCATATTTTTATGAAGTTACTCTAGAATCAAGTGCAGTTCCTTATACATTGTACATTCTTAGGAAATTTTGACTGAGTGAATGAAAAGAGTTGGATCATGTGACCCTTCCACTTATGATCCTCTCACTTATAGGTTATGATCTTAGATAACTGGTGTGGAGACACATAACATAGAAGGAATAAGTACACAGGGTGGGAAAACAGAGATACATTCAATGGTGAATTTTCCATTTCTCTTTTCATTTCATGCCTCCTTTTTCTTTTACCCAACTGTGAAATACATGCATTCCTAAAAAGTAGGCTATATAGACTCTCTCTCCCTCTCCCTCTCTCAATCTATCTATCTATACATATATATATATATATATCATACACACACACACACACACACACACACACACACACACACACACACACACCATCTACTTCCTTTCCTTTCCTTCTCAACTTCTTTCAAGTGGAACTATCATATGAATTCAGTATGTGGCAGGAGTCCATCCTTCCTCCTGGTAAGATCTGTGAAGACTGAAAACTAGTACTTGTGGTCAGAGTCTTTCTCTAATTTCTACATAATGGTTTGGCTTTGGGCCTTGTTTAACATGTCTTATTTTTGTAACTCACACCATTTATCAATGTGCTATAAATATAGACATCTGCCATGTTTCTGTAAAGACCATCTGATATTTTTGTCCACTCCTACATAAATATCTCACTATTGCTTTTAGATAGGCATATACCTCTCTGTACTCCTTTACCACATTGTCATTAAGTTCTAACTCACCCACTACATCCAGTTTAGAATTAATTTTCATTTTTGGAAGAGTAACAAGTAGTCAATAAAGGAGAGGAGGGTGTTTGAAAAGTAAAAGAGATCATGTGGTCCATGGACCAAGGGTTCCTCTTGTGAGGCAGCTATTAATTAGATCAGGAAGAATAGGCAGAATAGTCAAAGGAAGAAAATGAAACTATTTTGTGAATTAATCCTTAAAATCTGAATCGTCATCACAAGCAGACTTCAGCTAGAAACAGAACTTAAATCAATGCCCAGTATGTTTGTTAATATGGAGACATACATGGTTATTTCTACCTATAAAGATATTTGCCTATGTACAATTTACTTAATAACTTAAGAAAAAAGATTCTCAGTGTTTTGGAGTTCTCAATGTGCTGCTTCCCATTTAATTGAGGCTGTACCAAAATTCAGTGAAAACATTCAGAAACCAGAGAATATACTTAGCTAAGAAAAGGAAAAAATGGTGCATGAAACCCTTGTTACCTATTTCACAGTGTTCTAGGGCAATTCCAGATTGGGTTGAATTCCCTTAGAAAGGCTTCTACTGAGAATGCATTTGTTTCTAGGTAACAAAAAGACCACTCAGAATGGAGCTCATGAACTCCACTTTGGAAAATGGCTTCATCTTGGTGGGTATTCTGGATGGCAGTGGCTCTCCTGAATTGATCTGTGCCACAATCACAGCCCTGTACATGTTGGCCCTGACCAGCAATGGACTGCTGCTCCTGGTCATCACACTGGATGCCCGGCTCCATGTGCCCATGTACCTCCTACTCAGGCAACTGTCTCTCATTGACCTCCTCTTCACATCAACTGTCACCCCAAAGGCTATTGTGGATTTTCTGCTCAAAGACAACACCATATCCTTTGAGGGCTGTGCACTTCAATTGTTTTCAGCAATGACATTGGGTGGTTCAGAGGACCTCCTTCTGGCCTTCATGGCCTATGACAGGTATGTGGCCATTTGTCATCCTCTAAACTACATGATCTTGATGAGTCCAAAGGTCTGTTGGCTCATGGTGGCCATATCATGGATTCTGGCATCCCTTAGTGCACTAGGGCACACTGTGTACACAATGCACTTCCCTTTCTGCATGTCCCAGGAAATCAGACACCTGCTTTGTGAGATTCCTCCATTGTTGAAGTTGGCTTGTGTAGACACCTCTCAATATGAGCTCATGGTTTATGTAACAGGGGTGATATTCCTATTGCTTCCACTTTCTGCCATTTTTACTTCCTACTCACTAATTCTGTCCACTGTCCTGCACATGCCCTCAAATGAAGGCAGGAAGAAAGCCCTAGTCACCTGTTCCTCCCACTTGACTGTGGTTGGGATGTTCTATGGGGGTGCCACTTTCATGTATGTCCTGCCCAGTTCCTTTCACAACCCTAAGCAAGACAATATCATCTCTGTGTTCTACACAATTGTCACACCTGCTCTGAACCCCCTCATCTACAGCCTGAGGAATAAAGAGGTCATTGGGGCTTTTAGAAGGATCTTGGGGAGACATATTTTGCCAGCACACTCCACCCTTTAGGAAGGGTTCACAGTTTGCCTCTCACTATTCCTTCTTCAAACAAATTGCTATATGCAGTCATTCTTTAACGTTATTCTCTGGCTTAGATGGTATATATACACTATCATGTTTTTGCATTATTTTCGATTGTTATTTGGTGTGAAAAGAGAGCATAAGCTGAATCATCTGACATATATCACCCTGGTCTAGGGAGCCCCTTCATTTTCAAATTTTTACAACAGCCTAGAAGAGAAAGTTCCAATTGGATGTTTTAGGTGCATTATATGATTGATGTCATCCTGGTACAGCACAAGGTAGATATAGTTAGGGATTTGTTTTCCATTTCAACATCACGTAGTATCAGGAACCCTGTTGGTTTTAAAAATAGTAATCTGCAGCTCTGAGCATCACAGTATGGTCACTTTTGGTCCAGATTCTTAATTATCAGTAAAGAGAAATACCAAAGAAAATATTTTGGAATTCTTATTTATTAAGAAATTAGAAATTAATGGTGAAGAATAATTGACATGTGTCCCAGATTTGAAAAACATTAACATTGACTTGTAAATAAAGATATAAATACATTGATAGTGAAAGGGGATTTGAAAATGGAACCTGGCATTTCTATTTGGGAACTTTCAAATTCTATTGACAATGCCTAAAGTTAAATTTTTAGAAGCAAGATCAATAAAATACAGTTGAAAGCATCTGTATATAAATAAAATATAAGAAACAGTGAGAATACAGTTGTGTATGTTTTAAAATTATTTTAAGTACAAATATATAACCATGTTTAGGAACATCTAACAGAAAAGTATAAGAAATACTAATTCTTGAGGCAAATGTATGCATGTGTATGCATGTAGGCAAGTGTATGCATGTAGGTAAGTGGATATATGTCTATATCCACAGGAAAGGAAGTATAAATTATGCTTATATGTGTCCTGTTTTATCATATCCCTTACTGGTATGGTAATTCCATAATAAAAGGTAGAAAGTTCAATTGGCTAACAGAAAAACCCAAGTAGCTTGACTTATATAGATCATTTCTATGGATCATACTGCTGTATGAGCACTCAAAATTTTTGTTTTGTTTTGTTTTTTAGAACAGGGCTTCTCTGTGTAGTTTTGGTGCCTCTCTTGGGTCTTTCTCTGTAGACCAGGCTGGCCTCGAACTGAAAGAGATCCACCTGGCTCTGCCTCCTGAGTGCTGGGATTAAAGGCATGCACCACCACTGTCCAGCTCAGAACATTTTTAATTTACTGAAGTAATCTTTTTGTTTTTGTTTTGTTTTGTTTTGTTTTTCGAGACAGGGTTTCTCTATGTAGCTTTTCTCCTTTCCTGGAACTCACTTGGTAGCCCAGGCTGGCCTCGAACTCACAGAGATACGCCTGCCTCTGCCTCCCGAGTGATGGGATTAATGGCGTGTGCCACCACTGCCTGGCTAAAATAATCTTAAAACTAAGCAATACTAAAAAAGCTAAAACTACAAAAGTGCAAAAATTTTGAAAGAACCCAAATCACCTATAGTGTTTTCTTTCCATTGGCTATATAAGTCTGTACTGTGCTGAACTTACATATAAGTGATATTTAAACTCCTTTTGTTATTTAAAATTTGGTCAATCTTGTTCCTTATTTGAAAGACATTTTACAATACGAGTGGAGAGGGAGGGGCCATACTCTCTGACCTTAATTCCTTGTCCTCTTTATTTTAAGTCTGTCCATATTTGAACATAAAAATCACACTTTTCCATTTCAATTTTCTTATCTCCCAGCAATACTGGGAGGAGCCTGATCTCATGCAATTTTGTGTAGGTTAAATGAAGTAATAAATGTCAGAATGCCTCATTTGTACTTAAGCCATGTTAGCTACTAGGTAAATGAATAGTAAAGATCTTTGGAAAGCAATCTTAGGTTGTTTCATCCATGGTGCACTGTATATGTTTGTATATATACAACATGAAGCTAATTGTTACAAGTTTTATCTCATACATTCACAGCAATTTTTCAAGTGTGTAGTATGTCCTGAGTGTATTTATCATCACCATGATATGCAATAGACCTTGTGAACTGTCTTCCTGTATAAGCTAAATTTTATGCTATTTAACCAACATCTCCCCAGCATTTTATCTTAGGTAACCGACCATCTTTCCCTGTCCTATGAGCTCAACTTCTTTAGATTCCACAGACAAATGAATTTACACAGTAATTTTCTATTGGTGCCTGACATTTCCCTTAACGCTCTCCAGATTCATGTTTGTTGCAGTAACAAACAATATTTCTCTCTTACATAAGGTTGAAAAAAGTTCACACATCAAGATGCATCCATGTTGAAAATATTTAGCATGAAAGCTTATATAGCTATATACACAATACATGTGTTTATATGCAGTTATTATACCCCCTTGATGAAGTTACCATCTTACCATATATTAGTCATCTTCTCCTCCTTGTGTTGATTTTAATTTAAAGTCTCTTACTTTTCATCATACAGAGTTCTTTTGTTATTTTTTAGGTTCTGTATGTGGAATATGTTTTTTTATATCTTCACTATCTACTGAGTGTGTTACTAAAGAAAAATAAATCTATCATAGGTAACATATAGGTAGACTTTTCAAAAACAATTCCATTCAGCCATTCTGCCTTATTGTTCATCTACATTTAATGTACTACTGTCATTTAGTTGTTTTTTGAGTTTTAAAAAAATTAACTTAATTTTGAGAATTTCATATACAAATACTATATTTACATCATTTTCACCCACCAACTTCTTTTTAGTTTCCCATAGTTTTTGTGGTTAAGTAATTTTCCGTATTGATAGGCTAAATTTCTTCTTTACTACTTATGGGTCTACCACATATTGATGCATTGTTGTTACCATGAGGCTTATAAAATATTTTGACTATAACAAACAATTTGAAATGGTAGTGACTTAAGATGATTATAAAAGGAGAAAAATAACCAACAAAATCCTCAACCTTTGTACTGTATTGCTTCCTACCTTTCAAACTTTTGATTAGTCACTTACATGTTCCTGTATTTATCTCAAGGTATCATTGGACATTATTTTAATTGTTTTGTTTTCAATTTTCATATTAATGATGTAAATGGGTTATGTTCCATGTTTACATGAGAACATTCAGAATACTTTGTAATGTTTCTTCTGCCACTGAGTTTTCTAACTCTGCTGTTCTTTTTACCTATTAAAGTCTCTTTCATACTGAAGAACTCATTTCTTATACACAGGTTTGCTAGAATAAATTCTCCTAGTTATTTTTTGTCTTGTAATGTTTTTGTATTTTATAAATTTCTAAAGAATAGCTTTGTTGGTTATAGTTATTTGGATTAAAAGCTTTCCCTTCAGCTTTGAATTTGTCTCCCATTCTTCCTCATTTGTGACCTCTCTGTTGGGAATGCTATGTCAGGCAAGCTGTAACACCTTTATATGTTTTTTTTCTCCTCCTGTTTGGAAAATATTACCTTTGTCCTTAACTTTTTGAGAATATGATTGTCTTGCAATGGACTTTGTTTAATTGATTATAATTGGTGTTCTTTGACCTTCAACTACCTAAATTTTTATATCCTTAATTTGGGGAATTTTCTGTTAGTATCTCTTTGAACAAGCTTTCTATAGACATGACATGTCCAAGTTCCCCTTGAAAGCTATAGCAAGCATATGTGCTTTTTTGATGCTAATTTAAAGTTCCTGTAAACTTTCCTCATTATCTCTACACTTTCTCATATTTTTCTCCTTTGACTGTCTACTTTCAAACAACCGCTCTTTTATTTCTGTTTCTTCTGTTTGATGCATTCTGCTTTTGACATGTTCTCTTATGTCTCTAGTGTCTCTTAGTTACACATTTCAGTTCTGGGTTTTCTGATTGTTTGCCTTTTAAAACTTACTTCAATATCTCTGTTAATAGCTGGGGAACCTGCATGGGACTGAACTAGGCCCTCTGGATGTGGATGACAGTTATGTGGCTTGGGCAGTTTGTGGGACCACTGGCAGTGGGACCAGGATTTATCCTTAGTGCATGAACTGGCTTTTTGGAGCCCATTCCCTGTGGAGGGATACTTTGCTCAGCCTTGATACTGGGCGGGGGGGGGGGGGGGGGGGGAGTGGGGAGGAGGGGGTCTTGGTCCTACCTCAACTTGATATGCCAAATTTTGTTAACTCCCTATGGGAGGCCTTTCCCTCTCTGAGGAGTGGATGGAGGGTGGGGTTGGGGAAGGGGGAGGAGGGCTGAGCAGGAGGAGGGTTGGGAAGGGGAACTGTGGTTGGTATGTAAAATGAAAAAAAAAAACTTTTAAATTAAAAAAAAAGTTTCCTGGATAGGATACTAAATTGTTTCTTTTTGTTGGCTGAAGTTCATTGAGTTTTCTTAAAACCACTGCTTTGAATTCTTTGTCCAGGAGTTCACTCATGTTGTTGCTCTAAGTTCTATTTCTGACATCTTATTTTGTCTGTTTTACAAGGACTAAAAATTCTGGTACATGTTAATGTACATTGTCTGTTCATTGAAGATTGGATGTTTGTTGCAGTCTTCATAACAGCTTTATTTCTCTCTATTTCTAAACAGGTAGCTCATTTTCTCAGTATATGGGTGACTCAGCAGTATTAGCACTAGGTGGTATCTTGCATAGTTTTTCTGAGTCTATAGTCGATGTTTTACCATTGTTTCACACTAGAGAGTACCCTAATACCAAATTTTTACCAAATGCACAGTTGGCATATTGCTCAGAATGAATTGGGAGGAGTGCCTAAATGAGTAGCCCCTCCCTGTAAGCCCCTAGAAAAGCCAGGTCAAAGTCAGAGTCCTCATTTACAGTTCTGGTCCATGTAAATATTGTGGGATTCTGTCTGGCACTGGGTCCCATGTGGAGGAATTAATCCCATACTCCTATGCAATATCTTGCACATAACTCTTCTTTTTCCTCACAAGTGGAAAATTATTTTCTCTATGTTGTGTTGCCTATCATTAAGAAAGGTATGGAGTGGGCAGTTCATTACCACCAACACAAAAATGTTGCATCACATTTGGAGCACATAGACTTCTAAATCTAGTTCGACCTGGGAGCAGCATCAGTGCCCACATTACCTCCTTCTATGGTATACTGATGGTGCTGAACTACTACACAGCTCCCAGTGATTGCAGACAGAACAGATGTTATAACAGCCAGAGGAAGAAATGTTGTTTTGTATCATTCTGCATGGGTTGGGGAAGTGGTGGTGAGGAGATTCTTAGCTACCTGTATAACATGTACAGAGACCCTACCATGAATTAAGAGATGTGGTATGTGCTAAGCACTGGTTTTACTGCCATACATTCAGTACTGGATGCATTTCATTCTAAGGCCCACGTTTAAGGTCTTCTCCCTCTAAGAGCATTTCACTTCCCATTTTTACATTGTGTTGTTTGTAATTTCTATACCTTACCCATTGTACCCCTGCAGTATCAATTTGTCTGAGATGTAATTTACCTTCTAGTTCCATGTAATCCAAGTTCTTTTCTCAACAAGATTCTCCATGATGTTGTTTTCAGACTCTCACATGCACCGCCTAGCAGATTAATCAGTACTTGACTTGTTTTGTCACCATTCTTAATAATTGTTTTCAGCATTATTTTTTGTTTAATTATGATTATAATTTGGGGGACCTTATTAATTCCAGATGTCTACTTTGTAATCTCTGTTTAAGCTTTTTCTAAGATAAGTTTTAAGTATTCAGATTTGTAAAGGATAATTATAATACTAACAACAAATTATAGACTTGTCAGACACTATAATAGAATATTCTCAGTAATTATTCATAAGCTGAGAAGATTACAGAAATATAAGCAGTTAAGCCCTATATAGAATGACTGAGAAGAGTCCTTTCAAATGCAAAACCAATAGATGAGATGAAAATGATGCTCAGACACTGAATACTACAGATCTGATAGCTGAGACAGAAAGTCTGGAAGGTAAATTGCTTGAAAAATTGTGGTGCTGTGATCACACAAATTGTCAAGATTATTCAATTACTGTGTTTCAACATGAAACTTCTGAGGAAATGTTATAGACAGGTCATTTCTATACGTTCAGTCTGTCTATGGGGATGACTGGTTAATATCATACACAGGATCCTCTGCAGAATATGGGAGAACTAGTTATTCTTGTGACTACATTGCTCTTCTTCTTAAGCTATTTCTTGGCAAGATTTCTTTACTTTCAGTGTGTTCTTCCTGAATATCTCTGTGATTTTGCTCCTATCCCAGGCTTCTTTAGGATTGTTTTCTATCCCATTGATGGTGGCTGAAGTTGTACATCCTTGCAATCAAATCTCTTCTCAGGGCAGTAAACTTCATAAAATGTTCCTGGTCTTCAAATAAGCCAAGGCCTGTACTTTTGATCCTCATAGTATTTTTCTTCTACCATATCTTCACATATTCTTTTTCTATTGAATTTCTAAAATTGTTATCCCTGTATTTGTGATAACTTGTTAATAGATTCCCAAGTCATTCAAGGGAGGCAAAGGAAAGGAATGTGATTTACTCATGTGAGAAAAAGAAAGGATGCAGATGATAGAACTACTTTGTCAGTGCAAGGTTCCAAATACCTTTTAAATGTCTGCATCACCAGGTTTGACTGTGCATAATCTTCCAACCAGTTTTCCAAGTGCCTCTTTCACATCTTTGTTCCTAAGGCTGTAAATGATCGGATTCAACATGGAAGTCATAACCGAATAGAATACAGAGATAACCTTATCCTTTTCACTCATTGTCTTGGAATTGGGTCTCATGTAGGCAAATATTCCAGAGCCATAGTAGAGGACCACAACAGTGAGGTGGGAACCACAGGTCGAAAAGACCTTGAGCCTTCCCTCCCCAGACTGCATCCGGATCACAGTGGAGATGATGTTCCAGTATGAGACAAGGATTAGTGAGACAGGAGCTAATAAGATAATCACTCCCACTAAAAACAGAGCCATTTCAGCATTGTATGTGTCAGCTGAAGCCAGCTTTAGGAGGGCAGGTGGCTCACAGAAGTAGTGATTAATTATATTCTGTCCCTGATAAGGGATGCACAATGTAAATGCACTGTCCACTGAACATGCTAATGCTCCACTTATCCAGGAGACTACAGCCAACTGGACACAAACCCTCTGAGTCATGATGGTGGAGTAGTGCAGGGGCTTGCAGACAGCTACATACCGGTCATAGGACATCACTGCCAGCAGAGCACACTCTGTACACCCTGCTAGGAGAAAGACCACTATCTGTATTGAACATCCAATAAAAGAAATGGTTTTCCTTTGTGAAAGGAAGTGGACCAACATCTGGGGTACAATGCTTGTAGAGAAGCAAAGGTCAGCAAAGGATAAGTTTTTGAGGAAAAAGTACATGGGTGTATGAAGTCGAGAGTCAGTTTGGATGAGGATTATGATTAGCAGGTTTCCAAATACAGAAAGGAGATAGATGATCAAGAAAATACAGAATAGCAAGATTTGGATTTTAGGATCTTCTGAGAGTCCCAGCAGAATAAATTCAACTACATAAGTTTGGTTTCCTCCTCCCATTGATATTTATTCCTGTTTACCTGTCATCAGAAGGAAAAACAATGTTTTCGGTTCTGTATAAACAAGTGTATAGTTAGCAAGTGCACCCTCTTGATTCTTGGCTTCCATCTGTTTCCCAGTTCCTGTGAAAATGCACACTGGTGGACCTGGATCCAGTAAAGCTTATTTTGTTTTGTTTGTTTCATTCTTTTCGGAAAATGAGCTCACTCTGAAACTCAGGCCAGCCATGAACTCTCCTGCTTTGGCCTCCTCTGTGCTGTAATTATAGGTGTTCTTTGCCACATCCAGTTTGCACATAGATTTTAAGCAAACTTTCCTTGAATATTCTTCATGATGCATGACCATCATGCGCTGTATGGGATTTTGTGTCTAATCTTAATATCCGGTTAAGTGTGGGTAAGCCAATTACCATGTAGCTATAGTAAGAAAAATACCTTACTATTTTTCAGTTTCTTTTACAAATTACAGTTTCAATTTCAAAGCTATCTTTTTTCAATTCCACTCACCTATATCAGTTGTCTGAATAAAGCAAACTTGTTTCATTAGTAAAAGAAGTACTTTTGCCTTGTACATTTCAAAACACTTAGCAGCTCATAAAAAAATATGTGCCCGTAAGATGTTTGTTACAATAGGAAGTTCAAATAAGGACTTGAGGCCTAAACAAAGAAACTGTACATATTGCTTATTGATTTTCATAAACTGGTATCTGAAAATACGAAACAACTACTGAAATGCTGATTCAAGGTAAAAGAAGAGAAAATTTTATGTACATGTACTGTGTAACCCTGGTCTTCAGACAATGTTTTATGTGAAAAAGATGAAAAATTATGTTAAACTCAAAAAGGCAACCTGCATAAAACCTGTATAATAGACTCCAGTGTCCTGAACATAACTGTGTGAGTGAACAAAGCCAGGAGTGAGCAGGGAAACTGACATTCTGAATAGGATCTCATAGCCTCATGATAGCAAATCCCAGCTAACCTCTGACTTTAAACTGTGGTGACCAGTTGTTAGGATATTGATTTCATTATCAGATAGGATTCCATGAAGAGTTTGGTGATAGCCTTGACTGCATAGTGAGACTTTGTTTAGAGAAACACACAAACAACCAAAAATACAGAATTATCCTCTAAAAGGTATAGTGATGTGAAAAGATAGGAGGGAGATTTCTGGAATGATAATTGTCTGTTTCTTAAAATAGTACATGACTATTTCTAAATAAAGACTGCATTTATAATTTAAAGTTTCCTTCCAGTTTTCACCTGGAACTTCTATACTTTCCTGAAATTGTTATGCTTTAATGAAGAAGTTTATTTTATAAAGGTTTATTCAATCTTTTAGTGTGTGTGTGTGTGTGTGTGTGTGTGTGTGTGTGTGTGTGTGTGTGTGTGTACATGTAGGTTCACATGGAGGACAGAAACAGTCATTAGACCCCCAGGAGCTGGATTTACAGATGCTTGTTAGCTACCTGATTTGCGGGCTGGGAACCAACTTCAGTGTTCTACAAGAGCAGCAATTGCTGTTAACCACCAAGCCCCAAGAAGTATGTTTTTTTAAAAAAAATGCCATTTGGCAATGAAAATTATATTGTTTCAGAATATAGTACTTAAAAAACAATTATAATAGCTTGTTTAAATAAGCAACATGGTTTATTTGATGTGTTATATTATTTCTACAACTTTCTGGATTGAAAACCGTGTTTTTGAAAGATGAAAAGAGAAGACAGCATTGAGAATAGCATGGGAAAACACCTAAGGGAGTGGGTGAACAAGAGGGTGGTGTAAGACATGTGACACAAAAGCATAAGAAACATATTTGGGGGAGAGGAAGAAGACCAATGAGAGGGGACCCAAAAGGATGAGAGAGGACAGTGAGGAGGGGATGATTATTTCATGAAAATATAATCACATACGCACAAAATAATGAAGCTTATTATGTTATAAGTTTACTTAGAAAATTGATAGTAAAATATAAAGTAAAACTGGGAATTTAGAGATGTACGTTACCTGAAGACCACAGTAGGAATAACTTCACCAAGGTTCTATCAAAACACTCAACATGTTTCTGTACATCCTGCCACATGGTCTTCAACTGTCAGCTTCATCCTTGGAACCAAGAACTACATGCTCCTTTGCTGTGTCAAACAACCAAAATAAAGTGTCTTTGCAGTAGCATTTAATAGCACTAAGATAAAGTCTAATGCAGGGAATCAGATTCTCTGAGGAGCATACACATATTCACAAATGAAACCAAAAAAATTGTGAGCAAAGGAAAGTGGCTATTAGATTGATAATTGACAAAAAAAACCTTATTTTTAATTTTAATTTTTTATTATTTTATTTATTTGTGTTTGTTTACCTATCTATTTAGTATCATTTTTCAGTTTGGTTTACAATGTATGCCAAATTTAAATGCAAAGCACACACTGTGACAAACTTTCACTTTTGATTCAGGATATAAACAGTATAAACAACATAATAGCATGTCATACATAGGCACACTTTAAATGAATTCATGATCACTAAGTGAGATTTTTTATTAAATAATATATCTATGGTTACACATTAAAGCCATATGATGACACTGGCACAAAAATACAAGCACCCAGAATACAATCCACTTCTAACAATTGTGCAGTGAACTGTGATCAACCCATGTCTCCAGTGAAAGCAATTCTGAGACCAGAAAGGTCTTGGGGACAAGATCATGGAAAAAGAAGTGTCATAGTGTGGCAAGCCCAGTGGTACTATTTTTTTTCCCATAAGGAAATCGTGGATTATCAAGAAGCAACTGAGAGCCCGATAAATTTAGCAGGACGTGGGCATCCATGAAGTGAAAGGCTAAGGAAGCCTTCAGTAATCTTAAAATAGCAGGTGGCACAAGATAAAAAACTGGAGCATAAGCCGTACTAAATTTAAGTGACACTAATCTAATACTTAAGGTCTTATTTGTGGTCTCTGATGATCTTGGAGTGAGGAATGCATTGGAAATATATAAACTATTCAGTATAAGTCAGCAAAATCTATTTTACATAAGAAAATCCATTTTTAATTCCCTGATAGAATAGAAACAAATTCTTTGCCCAGGAAAGTAACATTGGGAACTCTAAACTACCTTTACAATATCCTACACACAATGTCTTGTGTTCAACAAAATGTAATTACAAAACATAATGTAAAATATGAACAATAATTAAGAAATAGAGAGAATGAAATCAACAGGAAATACTACAAGAAACGTGATGTTGCAGTTATTAGACATCATATTTAAATATTATGAACAATATATATTACTAAAATTACTAAATTACTAAAATTTACTAAAAATCACTAAAATAAGAATCAATGTGTGTTTTTATTTCAGATCTTAAAAATTGAATTATTAAAGCTGGGATGTAGAAGATGTTTAACAGTACATTAGACAAAGGAAAGAGAATATTAGTTAACAAGAAGAGGACACTATGAAAAGCAACGGTTAGAAAGACAAAAAATAGGCCAAAAAAAAGGTGTCAGAAATGGAACGTAATTCTCAGAGGGAGAAAAAAAGAGTAATACAGTAAAAGGGACTTTTGAATAGATGATGGTTTATAATTTACAGATTTGGTGAAAAAAAAAATCACGTACATAAGTGTGACGAAGTTAAATGCAAAAATGACTATGTATATCAGAATCTCACCATACTTCTAACTCAAAGGAATACAATGGAAACCCTAAGCCTATTATAATCAAAATACAGAACATGCCAAATATTGTTACCTGAATGGGAGAAAGAAAACATTCCAAGAAACTGTCCCTTGTGCATGTGATATGAATTTTCTCTGTCCTACAAAACCTTGAAGGAAAAAAAGGGAAGAAGCTAGAATAAGGCTTCAGATCACCAGGAACAGAGGCTCTCCCACCCTTTATGTGCATGAGATCTCTAAATGGGACCTGTGGGATCAGAGAAGTGTAGGTGGGGAAGGCATTAAATGTATGATTCATGGAAACAGTTTTGGCAGAACTTAACTTTTTATACCTAGGATGTTCAAAAAGACAGTAGAATAAGAAGGATGGACCGGGAAGTGGTGACACACACCTTTAATCCCAGCACTCCTTGGGAAGCAGAGGCAAGTGAGTCTCTGTGAGTTCCAGGCTAGCCTGATCTACAAAATGAGTTCTAGGACAGCCATGGCTGTTACACAGAGAAACCCTTTCTTGAAAAACCAAAATCAAAACCAAAACACAAAAAACAATTAAAAAAAAAGGGGGGGTAGGGTAGGTAAAATTAGGATCCCTGCAAGACAAAAAGTATCTAAAACTGAAACTCAAAGGATATATAAGGTTACATAACCACTCCTCCTTAAGAAACAAAGCCACATGCTACCTTAATTTTTTCCTTCTGCGCTTGTCATTTTTTTCTAATAAAGAAATAACAGAAGAGAGGAAAAAGTAAAAAAGCATTAAACGTACCCTTCACACTAAGTTTTCTAAGGAATATGTTGTCCATGTCGCCAACAAGCTCCGAGTGATGTTTCACTGGCTGAATATACTGCTTTTTGCATTTGTTTTTCCTAATTTGTCTCAGTCACATTTAAAGCTGTGACACTGTATTCACTTCACTTGGACATACTTTTCTCCTGATGATATCTCCTTTTCTTTATCTCCCTTTTCCTTCTGCTTATCTTCCTTCTATCACTTTCTGAGCCCATACATCACTGTGTATAACCTCTTCCACCCCTTCAACTTCAATTCTCATTTAACGATTGTAGGTTCTTAAGTCTCTACAAGCAACAGGAACATGTTTTGCCATCAGAATTCTGGTTCATAAATGAAACTTTGTATTGAGCTTCATTGAAAATTCGCTTAAATGAGATTGAGAATTCTCCATACCTGGTAGAAAAATACATATATACCTCACAGGAAAAGAAGATGATATCAATATTGACGTAAGTTTTGGAGAGATACAACTTGGTTTGAATCTGAGCTCTCTGAATTAATACATCCTCTTTAATAAGGTGTTTCAACCTAGTTCCAATATTAAAAAGTAAAGATATT